CGCCCGGCGCCTCAGGGCCCGGGAGGAGGACTGCACCAGCCTGCAGCTGCAGACACTCCAAAATGGCCGGAAGGGGCCAGAGCAGGCACATGGCCGCCCCTGGCTCCATGGCACAAGAAACAAGCTGAGCTACAAAAATCAGCCAAAGGCACTAAAGGCACAAGGCAGTGATGTCCAAAAAGGCAGAGGGCAACCACAAATGGAACTGCTACGGCTGTCAGAGGTCCTGTAGCACGCAGCAGGAGAGAAATGAGTGTCCGGGGAGATCCCTTTAAGCACGTATCTCAAAGGAGCTCCAACCCCCACCCCCAGAAAGGGCTGCTGCCCATTTGCCCTCTTCAAAATGGTTCCGGGCTTCTGCTTTTGCGCAAATGCGCCCCGCCAATGTAGACGTGCTTTTGCACAAAAGCGCATCGTTCTTACGATGAGTCCTGGACCAGTATAGACGCTCTCCTGCGCAAATACTTGTAACGCAAAAACTCTTGCGTTAAAAGTATTTGCGCAAAATCATGCCAGTGTAGACGCATCCTAGGGGTTTGGAATGGGATCCATATGAAGAGGGATTAAAAAGACTGGGACTTTTCATCTTAAAAAAGAGGAGACTAAGGGGAGATATGATAGAGGTCTATAAAATCATGACTGGTATGGTAAAAGTGAATAAAGTTATTTACTTGTTCTCATAACATAGGAACTAGGGGTCACCAAATTAAATTAATAGGTAGAGGGTTTAAAACAAACAAAAGGAAGTTTTTCTTCATGCAGCGCACGGTGGAACTCCTTGCAAAAGGATGTCGTGAAGACCAGGACTTCAACAGGGTTCAAAAAAGAACTAGATAAATTCATGGAGTTTAGGTCTATCAATGGCTATTAGCCAGTATAGGTAGGAATGGAGTCCCTATCCTCTGTTTATCAGAGGCTGGAAATTGATGACAGGAGACAGATCACATGATTACCTTTTCTGTTCACTCTACCTCTGGGGCATCAGGCATTGGCTGCTGTTGGAAGACAGGATCCTGGGCTAGATGGATCTTTAGTCTGATACAGTATGGTTTTTCTTTTGTTCTTTAGAGGCCCTGATCTTGCAGACATTTACCACTGAACATAGAATTTACTACTGTGAATGAGCTCACTGTGTCCATATAAATGAAGGGCAAACCCAGTGGAGTTTGAAGTTCTGCAAAGTTTATGGAATATTTTGAAGGTTCACAAACTATGCCATGGGCTAGAATTTGCTTTGAATTTTTTGTGTAATTTTTTTTCTCGCTACTTTTTTCATACTCTTTACATGTTTTCTTTCTTCTGTGTTTTATTCATTGGAAAAGGTAGAGTATGTTTTTTCTCTCTAGCCTATCTCTGCTCTGGTTTCCACCTCAGCCTTTGCTTAAGGGGATGAAAATCTGATGGTGGCTGAGTTGAACCACCCTGTGTTTGGGTGCTTTCCTAAGAATCTCCCAGCCAGCAGCTCTAGAGCACCCCTGAGGCAGGCTGGCCTCTTCCCCTGCCACAGCCCCAGACCGCTTAAAACTGCTCCCTCCATGTGGCTCTCCGCTCTGGGAGAGGGAGAGGCCTGTGCTGCCCTCAACCCCAAAGCCAATCTCTCAGCTCCTATTGGCTAGTTGTTTCTGGCCAATAGAAATTGAGGATTGGGCTGGAAGTGAGGAGATCACACAAAGCTTCCCCACTTCCTCCAGAGCAGAGAGGCACACAAAGCAGTGCTCGGCTTAATTCAGTGGCTTCTGAGTGCCTGAAGATCCCAGCGGGGTGTCCGCGGGCTGGATCTGGTGGCTTGGCATGCTGGATTTGGCCCATGAGAGGTATTTTGCCTACCCCTGGTCTAAACTTGCTCAAGTTGATTCTCTTTGCTAGAAATGATGCTTTTAAAGATTCATAAACAGCTCTGAGAGAACTTTTTCCTTCTTAACTCTGGCCTTATCCAAGATGGCATCAGTGTTGCCAACTTACATGATTTGTCATGATAATTATTGTTTTCCTTAAAGTCCCAGCTCCTGGAGTCAAATGGATATGTGATTATTTCAGCTTTCATTCTTAAAGAAAAAGTGAGTTTCTAGCCCTTGTGGCTGTGGAGAAAATGAAAAAATTGACCCCCAAACATTCTAAAGGCTCAAAAAGCAAAGGGCAAATAAAAAGAAACCAAATCTATTTTTTTTACATAATCTCATTATTTCAAAGCCAGTCTCATTATTTTCACTGGACCTGACCCATGATATTTGTACCTTTGGAGCTGGCAATACTGTGGTCTCTAGATGTAGTGCAGAGGAAGTTGGAAATTTGCAAGGTATCTAAAAAATCAGAGTTATAAAGGATAATCCATACAGCTTTTCCACTTATGCAGATATCCCAGTATATTATGGATTCTGGATCTTTGTCACAGGTTTACAGGGAAACTCGAGCATTGTGATTTTTTTTTTCTAAGAGTCAGGGGTGGAAAGTAGGAGAGATGTGTGTGTTACATAGCACATATATTTATGCAACAAGAAATCACCTGATATGCACCATTTTTTTTCAAAGAAGAAGGTAAAACAAAACTGAATAATTAAAATGAGAAAGAAATAACTAGAGACATATCTTCATATTGTGTGAAATTGCATTTTTATCCTGTACTTAAAAGAGTGTCTAGTACAGAGATTCATCTTAGACTTCTGGGTGCCTTGTAACAGGTGATGCACTTGAAACCATTCCTCACCTTGAAGAACTGGATTTATCCTGGAATAATAACATAGGTGGAAAACTATCCCTCTTGACCAAAAGATTCCAGAAAGGGTGCAAGATCAAAATCTTAAAATTTACAGATTGCAGTCTAACAGCAAAAGATGGAGAATCTTTAGGTAAGTGTATTTCACATACCTATGTTAAAATACTGGTGCTTCATAATTGTAACTATTTTGATTTCTGTTTTAGCATTTTACAAAGTCAATATTAAGCTTACTATTGATTGAAAGTTACTAAATTTCTGGTTGGCCATTATAACATTATCTGTATTGGTTTCCAAACAAGCCCTTTCTTTCTAACCATATGAGATTGGATAAGTTTCTAGTTGTAGCATGGGTTTGAGAGGAAAGATATCTGTGTTTCAAATCTCAATGCTGCCAATAATTTCAGGTATGACCTTGGAAAAATCACTTGAACCAACATTTTCAAAGTTGAGAGCCTAAAATTAGACATAGCTGAGAGACTCAAATTTAAGCATATAATAAAAGTGGCCTGATTTTTCATAGGTCTAGATTTGAGACTCTACAAATAGAGACTGAAATGAGAGTTTCAAGTGCTGAGCCTCTCTGAAAATCAGGACATTTACATTTATGTGACTAAATTTGGGGACTCACGTCCCAGCCATGTGACACGCATTACGTGATCAGGGCCAATGTTTATAATTGTTGGTCCAAATTTATCTGTTCCATGGGCTTGACCATCTCCTAAAGTTCCTAACTGTCAGGGTAGTCAAACACTGGAATAAATTGTCCAGAGAGGTTGTGGAATCTCCATCTCTGGAGATATTTAAGAGTAGGTTAGATAAATATCTATTAGGGTCTAGACAGTATTTGGTCCTGCCATGAGGGCAGGGGACTGGACTCGATGACCTCTCGAGGTCCCTTCCAGTCCTAGTATTCTGTGATTCTATGATCTCCAAAATGGGGTAAAAATGTTGTCTTATCAATATGTTTTTTAGTGAAATTCATGAATGTTTATAAAGTCTGCCAGTTTGGATGGAAGGTACTAGAAATACGTTGTTTATTCATTTGTATGGCTTGATCCAAAGTAATGGAAGTTAATAGAAAGATTTAAGTGGGTTTTGGATTAGGTTCATAGTTAGGCATTATGATCCTTGCAGTGTTCCAGATTTCCTGAGCCTTAGGCTGCGTCTAGACTGGCATGATTTTGCACAAAAGCGGCCACTTTTGCGCAAAATCTTGCCGCCTGTCTACACTGGGCGCGAGTATTTGCGCAAGAACACTGACTTTGTAATGTACAAAATCAGTGGTTCTTGCGCAAATACTCCGATGCTCCCACTCAAGGATAAGCCCTCTTGTGCAAGTATTCTTGCGCAAGAGGGCCAGTGTAGACAGCCATGTTAATTTCTTGCGCAAGAAAGCCCAATGGCTAAAATGACCATCAGAGCTTTCTTGCGCAAGAGAGCGTCTACACTGGCATGGATGCTTTTGCGCAAAAGCAAATCTTTTGCGCAAAGGCACATGCCAGTATAGATGCTCTCTTGTGCAAATACTTTTAACAGAAAAACTTTTTGGTTAAAAGTATTTCCGCAAAATCATGCCAGTCTAGACGCAGCCTTAGGGTTTTTTTGATGGGCGATTCACAGGGTTTGCAAAACTAGTTGAGCTTACAACACTTCTCCTTTCCCTCTATACCTACTCCATAACTTAATACTGTGTTCTTTTGAAATGATTCTGTATTTTGAAAAAGGTTTTCTCTCTAAAAAGAAACTTTTGTGCTTTGAACTAAAAATGAAGGATTAAACCTTCTTCCCACCCCCCAAACTAGACTAGCACCAGTATCTATCTATCTATCCATCCTTCATCCTTTCTCATTTGAATGTTTTCTCTTTCCCGCCTTTTTTTTCTTCTTCATTTTTTTCACCCTACTGTTTCACAGATTTTATTTCTCTGATCCCCTCCCTTACTTTTTCACTGTATTTTTTTAAACAGAACATGAACCTAATGAGTCTCAGGATGCATCTACACAGCAGGGCTTAACTCGAAATAAGCTATGCAAATTGAGCTACGTCAATTGCTAGCTTATTTAGTAATAGCTTATTTTGAAATTGGGAGTGTCTACGCAGCACTTATTTCAAAATAGAGCACTCTTCCTCCAACTTCCCTTATTCCTCGTCCAATGAGGGTTACAGGAGTCGGAGTAAGAAGTCCTCCAGCTTGACAGTATTTCAACATTATTTTGAAATAACTTCCTGCTGTGTAGATATGGACTAAGTTATTTTGGAATAGCGCTAGTTATTTTGAAATAGTGTTACAGTGTAGAAGTACCCTAAGTCAAATTTATGAATTCCTGTTGTTAGACTGTGTTTGAATGTAAGCAAAACGATTTGGCTCATTTCTGCTTAGATATGCTGCAACATCCTTCCAAGTAAACCTCATAACTAATCAATTCTGTTTTTCCTTTTTTTTCCAGCTCAGGTTCTAAATGCCATCTGTGACCTTGAAGTATTAGATCTTTCTATCAACAGAAACATTGGCTGCAGTCTGAAGAGTATTGCTCAGGAATTGAAAAATGTGCCAGTTTTGAAAGTATTAAATTTGCACATGTGTGGATTAAAGAAAGATGGCCTCCAGTATTTAGGTCAGTCTACTCTTAGAGGGGTTTAAATTTGGAATCACAAGCTTAAATCTAAAAGTCATCTAAGAAAATGTCTAGGCTAAAGGCAATGAAACAAGTATTTTGTGTGATAGAAATCATAAGAATATAAAAAATATTGATAGACAATTATTCTTTAAGTTGTTTAGTAAAGGAAACAGAGACTTTCAGCGCTAGTTTCTTGGTTCAAAGTCATCTTAAAGGGCTACTTACTTTGGGAATGTAATTCCAAAGTTAGTGGGATTCAAGTTAGCAGATCCATGTTAGAGAACCCTGAGTTTGAGCATCTATACTGTATTTTAACCCTAGGTTAAGATTTTTCTGACCTGAACTCAAAACTAGGGCTCTCGCATCCACACTGCAGTGCGCAAACCCAAGTCAAAATAACCTGTATTCTAGGGTCCCTAGTGCTTTGCTCCCTGAAATGTGGCAGCTCTAGCCCTAAGAACATGCTGTACTGTGAGATAACTCTACTACCTGGCCTGCATGTTACCGAGAAGCACTTCACTTTGCAAAAGGCTTGATCAGTTCACTCCCCTTTGCAAAACCAGGAAGCTATCTGGTAATATGATTGCAGATCTGTGATCAGAATGGAATGATTTACCACTGACTTAAGATGCTGCCATTTGCTAGGGAGTGTGGGATTGAAGGACTTCCATTTTCAATAGAGTACACTGCAGATTATTGGGATAGAGAGTACTAAGGAAGTTGGCCCATGGAATTGTGGAGTACTTCTGCATGACTCCTGGAACCTGAGTCAAGCAGAGCTGTGACTACACTGTAAAGCAATAGGGTTTGGACTTTGGGTCCCAGTTTGACTTGAGCTTGGATCCTCCAGCCCTGCAGCATCCTGGATCTGAGCCCTGGGCTAGCACAATTGTAGTGTAATGTAGATGCAAAGGAGTTAGGCCAGGTTCAAACATGAGTTTACACTGCAGTATAGAGATACCCTAAAAGTCATCACCTGAAGTCTGTCTAGATTAGCTTTGTCTAGTGGACTAAGTATTCACCATGCAAAACTCAGTATCAGAACTAGAGCTGTTTGGCACCCTTGGCAGTATTCTCAGATAACAGACTGAAGCATTAATGAGTATGAATGGGTGAGTTGTTCTCTGACTTATGGGTGGTTCTTTCAGAGGAAGATTGAGTGACATTGGTGGGAAAAGATTTGCAATGTTGACTTCTGTTGTGACTACACAGAAGACCTCATTCTCCAAAGCTGTCATTATGACACCTTTCTCAAACAGTAACACTAGAGTAAGCAAACATTAAATCTATAATCTGCCTTCTGTGTTTAGAATATTCAGTGACTGTGAATTTTGCCTTTTTGGTTTTAGATGGTGCTTTCCAGTACTTACCAGAACTAAACAAATTAGACCTATCATGCAATAAAGAGATTGGTGGAGGGTTTAAGTATTCAGCAGCTCATTTGGCCAGTTTTAAAGACCTAGAAATCCTGGATCTCCATCAGTGCTGTGTAACAGAAGAGGACATGGCAGTTCTCAGTAAGGACATTTTTAGAAAATTCATTAATAATATATATGTTTTTAACTTTTTTGAAAATGTCTTAAAGGCCAAAAATAGACACCACCTCTGTCAGATTTTAATAGTCAGGACCAGTTTTTATCTATGCAGATTTGGTAGTGCAGTGATTGTGGACAACAGCTAGCCTATTGATTAAGTCACAGCACTTGGAGTCATGATCCTAGACTAGTCACGTGGAGGCTGATCCTGAGAGGTGCTAAGAACTTGCAATTTTCCTTGTTCAGCATCTTAGAACTTGCCTACACTTAATCACTAATGGGGCATCACTGCAGTTGAGTCATTGCAGGTTGGCAGGAAGGATTCTCCCATTTTGTGCCCCCACCCATAAAAGCCTAACAGAAGAATTCTTTTGTTGACCTAGCTCTGTCTACACAAGCACTTAGGTCATCTTAACTGTACCATGCAGGGTTTTTTCACAGCCCTGACCTAATTTTCCAGCATAGACCAGACCTTAGATATCTTCATGTGTAAAATAGAGTCGGTAACAGTTATCTACCTCTCAGAGATTCTGAGAGACTTAATTCATTAATGTTTATAAAGGACTTTGAGATCTTTGGACGGAGAGAAAATACTGTTAGAGTACTATTTTTGTTAGGCCAGAACACACAAGATGCTTTTCTCAATGCAAGCAATGGAAGCTTTTTTGGACAAATGTCCTAGTGTCTATGCTATACACCAATGAGGCAATCTTGATGATTGATCATACTGAAGAGACCAAGGGTCAGATCCCCAACTGGTATAACTGGCATGACTCCAAGAGGTGAATGCACATGAGAATTGAACTCTCCATGTGGTACTTGTAGTGACTCACTGTCAAGGTAGAAGTTTAGTTGGAGGGTGGTGCGAGGAAAGCTTACACTGCAGCTATCCATGCTGTCTCTGTTCTTTGAAGAAACAGATTTCATTCTCCAGGACTTATTGTTCAAACTCTAATTTCACTTCATTTTACAAGAAATATACAGTTCACCTCCCAGCAAGGAGATGGTTCAATTTCTGTGTGTTCTGTTGTTTTGACGTGGATTTTAGCCTTTTGAATGAAAAATTCCTTGACCTCAAGTATACAGCTCTTCTTGATGGGGATGATAATGTAAAAAGATATTGATGATGTAATACTAGTAAGGAGAAAAGTTAACAATTACTTGAGTAATAATTTTAGATGTACATGTAATGGGACTTTGAAGTGGGTTTTACTCACGAAAGCTCATGTTCTTCTTCGAGCAGTGTCCCGGGGGTGCTCCACTGTAGGTGTCGGGCTTGTCCTGGTGCCGCAGATTGGAGAACTTTTCTAGCCATAGTCTGCCGGACCGCGCATGCGCAAAGCGCGGCTTGTGCCTTTTCGCGCCGTTTGTGTTCGCGCGATCCTGCTCCCGCCAGTTCCTCCTGACCGTCCTCCGCCGCGGACGGAATAATGTTTCTCCTCAGACTCTGTCAGAGTGAGAGAGAGGAAGAACTCACAGGATTTAGTTAGATTAGTTCGTAGTTAGCTCTTTCCAGTTATTATAAGTTAGTTATTAGTCGTAGTCGTTCTCGTTTACAAAAAAAAAAATTTTTTTTCTTCAAAGTTATCTGTAAATAGTTTTTCCTGACACTTGTCAGAGGAAGAAAGAGGCGACCATGCCGGGTTCACCTGGATTTAAAAAGTGCAGCTCATGCCGGGAAGCAATGCCTGCCTCCGACGGTCACGCTCTTTGCATCAGGTGCCTCGGTGAGGGACACATACCCCAGAAGTGTCCTCACTGCTCCAAACTCACCGCGAGAGCGAGGAGGGACAGGGACATGAGGCTTAAAATGCTCCTCTTTGACAGGGCATTACAGCCGCAAGATACGGCAACTTCCGTATCGCCTCTGGATCCCTCAGCCAAACCGTCCCCAAAGAAGGCGAAGCAAAGACCATTGCCTTCTCATTCCCTTCCCCCGACGCGTGTTAGCGTGGGGGACAAACCGGGCACCTCGGGCTCGCATGGCCTGTCTAAGGCGAAGCACAGCCGCAGCACTTCGGCTCCGCAGCCCACTACTCTTCCGGTGCCTAAGTTATCGTTGGCACCGAAGCCTTCCCCGGTGCCAACGCCATGCGCGGCATCGAGAGCACCCTCCGCACCGTCTATGACTGTGGCACTGGAAGTAGTCTCGGTGCAGACTACCCTTACCGCACCGATTCCCGCCTCGGCACCGAACGAACCTCCGGCACAGAACGGGCCGCCGGCACCACGACGCTACTCGGCACCATCAGATTCCAGGGCACCATGCTCTTCACCGGCACCAAGTGACTCGCCGGCACCAAGCGACTCTTCGGTGCGGGAATCCACCCCAGCTCTGGAGGATGCTCTTCCACAACATTCTCCGGTCCCTTCTGATGCGGCACTGCACCCGACGCTGACGGAAGGAGGTGGACAGTCTACACGACCCTCTGCCCTCACTGTTTCCCCAGAGCAGACTGCTATAACCACGCATCGAAGATCTACACCATCTCCCACACCAGAGAACACCCAATTCTCACCGGAGCCGCCTTCTCCTTCATCGGATCTTTCAGCCCAATCCATGAGACACCCACAGAGGGTCTACCGCTCTCCACGTATCTCACCAAAACGCCATTACCACTGGTCGCCTCCTCCAACTCTGAGATCCAGGGGACGATCCTGATCTCCTAAGTCCCCATCAGGCTCCGGTCACTCTGGGTACTATAGCTCCCACAGATGCCGTTACTACAGCAGACCACCGCATCGCTTTCACTATTACCATGGGTCGCCGGAGCATCACCGTTACTATAGGCACTATTCTCATTCTTCTACCCGACGTTCGTCAATATCTTATTCTCCACATCGGTCTCACACATCACCCAGCAGGGAACGTCAACCCTTACCGTCAGTAACCAGACCACCAACTCCATCAGGTATCCCACCTCCCCAACCACCTGAGCCATAGGTCCTACAACAACATACCATTCAGGATGAGCCTCAGGACTGGTCCCCCACCGACAAGTCCACTTCCTCACCGGATGATGCAGTATTCCAGGAAGACACATCACTGTCAGACGATCTCTGACAATTCCAGGATCTTTTCAGAAGAGTGGTGGCATCACAAAATGTGCAGATTGCAGAAGTCCAGCAGAAGTCCCACCATCTGCTCAGAAACCTGCACCCTTCACATCAGGCCAAGGTGGCTCTTCCACTGGATGATGCCGTTCTTGAGATTGTGGATGATATATAGCAGTTGCCGGCTTCTGCACCGGCCACTAACAAAAAAGCAGACAAAAAATATTATGTCCCGGCCAAAGGGATGGAGTTTCTTTTCTCCCATCCCCAACCAAATTCCGTTGTTGCCGATGCAGCCCAGCAAAGAATGAAGGGCTCGCAACAAAGACCTAATGTGCCGGACAGAGACATGAAACAGCTAGACCTCTTCGGATGAAAGGTTTACTAGTCTGCTACTCTTACGCTCCATATGGCAAATTATTCCACGCTATTAGCTAATCATAGCTTTGACAACTATTCTAAATTAGTGTCCCTACTGGAACATCTACCTGAGAGCAAGAGGGAGGTCCTCAAATCGGTAGTCCAAGAAGGCTATGCAGCTTCCAGAATAGCTCTCCACATAGCTTTGGACACAGCGGACACTGCAGCGCGTACCACATCCGCGGTCATGCGCAGGGCATCTTTGCTGCACCAGGCGGCAGTTCCCAAAGACCTTCTTTCCAAAGTCCAGGACCTACCCTTCGATAGGCAAAATCTTTTCTCTGACAAAACCGATCAGGTGCTTCATTCTGAAAGATTCAAGAACCATACTCAAGACACTAGGGATTCCTCCTTTTCGTCGAAAAAGGTATACTACCTATCAGAGGCAAAGACCGTTTACCTTTCAACTATCTCAATACAGGCAGCAGGACCAGCAACGCAATCGGCAGCGCCAGCAAAAAAGAAGAAATCAAACAAAAACATCTGGCCGTCTAACTACCAAGCAGCAAGTTTGACATTCCTGTCGAGGGACTGTGCATCATTCCGCTGAGCAGACATCCCAACCCTCCTCAGGCGTTATTCCACCATCGCCTGATACCCTTCCAACACCAGTGGTCTCACATCACCACCGACAGATGGGTACTGCAAACAATTACTCTAGGGCATACCATTCCATTCACCATTCTACCCCCTCCCAACCCCCCCACCCCGTCCCTTTTCAGGGAGCCATCTCACGAGCCTCTCTTACAACAAGAGGTCGATCGACTCCTCACCATCAGGGCAATAGAGGCAGTACCAAAAGAGTTCCGGGGATGGGGGTTCTATTCCTGATATTTTCTAACAGAGAAAAAATCAGGGGGGTGGAGGCCGATTCTCGACCTCAGAGGACTTAATCGGTACCTGTGGAAGTACCATTTCAGGATGGTTACTCTAGCCCAGGCATGTCCAAAGTCCAGCCCGCGGGCCAATTGCGGCCCGTGTTCCGGTTTAATATGGCCCCACAGGTAATTTGGCAATATCTATCTTTTATAGCCCCCAACGAATCCATATGTATTGAGATGAATACATTGTAAAATCTCAGTTAATGTCAGTTGGTCTAAATCAGTTATAAATATATTTGGACACAACATGTATACTTGGTGTTATGTTCCTGTTCATATTTTTTGAACTTAAAAGTTGACAGACAACCTTTATTAACAATAATATGCAATGTACTTTACAATGTTCCTGACATATATTTCAGCTTCCTGGATTTTTTTTTCATCTGGCCTTCAGATATGAAAGGCAGAGTGATTTAACACCTGTTTAGATTTGTCATCCATGTGACGAAATGAAAAGTATGCCGTTTGCAATAAACTTTGCATAAAATAGTTAATTTGCATTTAATTTTAATGGTTCAAAGAATGTCAGGCAAAATGGTCGGCCCTCACGCATGTTCACTTCATCAAATCTGGCCCTCTTTGAAAAAAGTTTGGACACCCCTGGTATATAGCATTCCTTTGTATCAGGGAAGATCTAGAATTCAGAATGACCTTAGAAAAATCAATTAGCTGAATGTGATGAGATAAAGAATTCTCACTTTCCTCTGTTTATAGCATGTTCCTCCTCTAGATAGTCTTGAATGGAAAAACAATGTGGAACAACTTGGTATTCACATGTTCTTAGAGCTTTACAAAAATCTTCAGCATTATTCACCCGGCTCACAGACTATTTCTACATTTTCAATTAGGCGCAGACCATTTCCAATACAGGGTCCTGCCCTTCGGTCTCTCGTCAGCTCCCAGGGTTTTCTCCAAGACGCTGGCAGTAGTAACAGCTTACCTGCGTCGTCTCAGTGTAATAATATTCCCTTACCTGGCAGTGTAATAATATTCCCTTGACTGCCTAATCAGAGCGTCTTCAGCTGCAGAGGCGCTGCACGCGACACACCTCACAAAAACAGTGTTCAAAACCTTGGGTCTGATCATCAACATCCCAAAGTTGGCCATGACGCCACATCAATCGATACAATTCATAGGCGCACAACTCGACTCAACCACCGCTCATGCTCTCTTACCAATAACTAGATTTCGAGTGATGCAAGATCTTATACAAGCCATCACCATCAGTCTCAAGCCCTCGGTACTACAATGTCTTCGGCTTATGGGACACATGGCAGCCACGACATACGTTGTCGAACACGCAAGACTACACTTTCGTTGTCTCCAGCATTGGATAGCTACTGTTTACACTCCAAATGCTCTAGATGTCCACAGACGAGTATCAATTCCCCTGCACGTCAGAAATTCTTTAGTTTGGTGGACGGTTCCGAAAAATCTGATGTCGGGTGTCCCATTTCACCGCCAACAACCGACGATACAACTGACCACCGATGCATCTTTACTAGGGTGGGGTGCACATCTGGAGCACAGTCAGGCTCAGGGACTTTGGTCCCCCGTGGAGTCGATGATGCATATCAATTTCCTAGAATTGCGAGCGGTGCGCAATGCCTGTCGTCACTTTCTTCCAAAGATTCGTGCTCAAACCAACCGAATTCTTACCGACAACATGACCACAGTATACTATATAAACAGGCAGGGCGGGGCCCAATCCCAGTCACTTTGTACCGAGGCGAATGCTTTATGGAGTTGGTGCATCCATCACAAAATCTCCCTCATTGCAGAATACTTACCCGGTCAACAGAACACTATGGCCGATGTACTGAGCAGGCATTTTTCCATGAAGCATGAATGGGAGCTTCACCCGGAAGTCCTCTCAACCATATTCCATTCCTGGGGATTTCCAACAGTGGACATGTTTGCGACCCGCATGAATGCCAAATGTCCCCAATACTGTTCAAGAGCGGGAATCGGACGGAGCTCCAAGGGAGACGCTTTCCTATACGATTGGAGCCATCATCTACTGTATGCGTTCCCTCCCACACCTCTAATTCCCAGAGTACTAGAGAAGATACTCATGGACAAAGCCACGGTAATCCTGATAGCTCCTTTTTGGCCAAGACAAACGTGGCTTCCTTACCTCCATCAAATGTCAGCGCGTCGTCCTTTCCCTCTGCCCAAGAGGCACAACCTTCTTTCCCAGAACAATCAACGCCTCTTCCACCCCCAGATGGAGCTTCTGGCACTGACAGCCTGGTTCCTAGTTGGTTCCAACAAACAGAAATGATCTGTTCGCAAGAGGTCAAACACATTCTTCTACATAGCAGAAAGTTATCCACAAGATCCACCTACCTTCACAAATGGGCACGGTTTTCTGCATGGTGCTCGTTGGCATGTCTGGACCCCTACTCCGTGCCCATTCACCGGATTCTGGACTACCTCGTGCACCTCAAGAACTCCTCTCTCAGCTGCTCCTCCATTAAGGTGCACATTGCCGCAATCACTGCGTTACATCACGCTGTGGACGGTTATTCCGTTTTCTCTCACCCAATGATACGGTGCTTCATGAAAGGCTTGGCTAATCTTTTTCCACACCACACACAGCCAGTGCAACCATGGGACTTAGAGCTAGTTCTTAACACGCTAACGCAGAAACCCTTTGAGCCCTTGGCCACATGCGATTTGCGTACCCTCACGATGAAAGTTACCTTTCTGATTGCCATAACCTCTGCAAGACTGGTTGGTGAGCTGGCTGCCTTATCGGCTATACCCCCATACACAGTGTTTACCAATCAAGGAGTCATCTTATGATCTCAACCCACTTTCCTTCCAAAAGTGAATTCACGATTTCACATCAATGAGCCGATAATACTTCCCACTTTCTACCCTAAGCCCCATGCCTCGGCAGAGCAAGCTCGCTTACACACTCTCGACGTTAGACGTGCCCTGGCCTTCTACATAGAGAGGATTAGATCCATCAGAAAGACAAACACGCTACTCGTGTCTACAGTCGACCGTTCTAAGGGCCGTCCATTATCAGCACAGCGCATTTCGGCAATCATAGTGAACTGCATAAAAGAATGCTATGTGCTACATAATAGAGCACTACTACAAAAACCGACAGCGCATTCAACACGCACAGTTGCTACTTCAACTGCATTCTTGAAAGGCGTTCCACTAAAAGACATTTGCAGGGCTGCCACATGGTTGTCAAACTTCACCTTTGCCAAACATTATGCCATTCCCAACCTTCACCTCCCAGATGGGGCAGTGGCAACAGCGGTGCTGTCCACAGCCACAGCATGATAGCTCCGAACCCCCCTCCTTTCAGGGGCTACTGCTGCGAATTCACCTACAGTGGAGCACCCATGGGACACTGCTCGAAGAAGAAGAAGAAGTAGTTACTCACCCTGTGCAGTAACGATGGTTCTTCGAGATGCGTGTCCCGTGGGTGCTCCACAACCCACCCTCCTCCCCTCTTCGGAATTCTTATTTTTGTCTTTCTGACCAAGAGCATCAGGAGGATCTGGCGGGAGCCGGACCGCACGAACACAAACGGCGCGAAAAGGCACGAGCCGCGCTTCGTACATGCGCGGTCCGGCAGACTACGGCTAGAAAAGTTCTCCGATCTGCAGCGCCGGGTCAAGCCCGACACCTACAGTGGAGCACCCATGGGACATGCATCTCGAAGAACCATCGTTACTGCACAAGGTGAGTAACTTCTTCATACTATTTTTGTTACTCTAAGGTGCCATAGGACTACTCATTGTTTTTTAAGTTACAAACTAACATGGTTACCCCTCTGAGACTTATCCACTTGTATGAGGTTAGCAAAGGTAGTAAGATTTGGACATAGATTGCACCATTAATTTTAATAGGAATTTACATTTAAATCCCCTAGTTGGATTTGAAAATCTTAGCAACTCTATGTCTGGCCAGAGCCCAACATTTATTCATGCTAAGTAAGGGTATGTCTACACTACCCCGCTAGTTCGAACTAGCAGGGGTAATGTAGTCATCCGCAGTTGCAAATGAAGCCCGGGATTTGAATTTCCCGGGCTTCATTTGCATGAAGCCGGCTGGCGCCATTTTTAAATGCCGGCTAGTTCGGACCCCATGCCACGCGGCTACACGCGGCACAGACTAGCTAGTTCGGATTAGGCTTCTAATCCGAACTAGCTGTACGCCTCGTGGAACAGCACGGGGTCCGAACTAGCCGGCATTTAAAAATGGCGCCAGCCGGCTTCATGCAAATGAAGCCCGGGAAACTTA